AAAATGGGGCAGAACTCACTTAATAACTCTCTTGCTTAGCAATAGAAATTTGGGGTTCAAGTAAGTCAAGAACTACCTATAATTTACCTGGTTCAGATAGTGTAAAACCAATAAATCATGGCTAACAAATCACACTTGATAGATTCACATGCCAAGCTAAAACCTTAGGGCACCATAGGGAAATTTATGTCCACATAGCTTCGAGGCTGATCTCTAATGTGAAAAATTGGAAATGTTTCTTGCGACAACCACTGCATGCTGTGTAGTAAACTGGACCTACTGCGGATGGCAATTTTCTAAAATTACTTTTTAAAGCCTGTGGATAAGTAAATGTTCTGGAGAAAATTGCTTTGGGCAATACATTTAATTTGTGTATGTGCATTCCAGTGTTGAGCTAACTGAACGTTCAACTACCAATACTGTAGCTGCTGCAGTAGTGGAAGCTGCAGGGATCTGCCCACAAGATGACAGCACTTTTTCTTTAATTACTTGGAATATTGATGGCCTGGATTCAAATAATCTGCAAGAAAGGGCACGAGGAGTCTGCTCCTATCTAGCTTTGTAAGTATCTATCACAGTAATCCTATGGGCATCTAGTAGAAATAAGCAATGATTTAATGAGATTAATTATAGAACAAGCCTGCTCTGGACAACACTGTGCATTTGTTTTGTACTAGCTCCTTTTTAATAAGAATTGAATACTTTTGTAATTCAGTGCTAAAATATGTATGCATGTAAGTCTATAAATAACAAAAAGTTTTAGGTTGTCTAAGACTTTGCTGCAAAAATGTGTTACTTTGTTTGGTGCCAAAATGCTTTCTTTGTATTGGTAAAATACAACTATGCATTTAGACAATGTTAGAAATAATTATATTTAATTTGCATGAATTGGAGATGTGTTACTCTGCTTATAAAACGGGAACATTAATTTCAAACGTGTGTTTCTTCTCTGTTTTATTCAGTCATTCTCATATATATGATCATAATAGTTTTAGAATGCTCATTAAAGCATGTTTTGGAGAAGGCTACAAGGAAATTAAAAGGACATACATCAAAATTACTATTGCAAATTTAAGAAAAATTAAAATGGTTTAAGATTTATATATAAACCTGGTCCATGATTAATGAAATAAAAACGTCTAGTCCCATAGCTGCATTGCAAGGGTGTGTAAATCTGTGAAACAGAGGTTTGTTTACATTATATAGTTTTATCATATGCTTGAACATCATTATTGATACGGAAGTAACATTCAGAAATAAATTTTGTGTGAGAATCATCACGAGGTTTTCACATCACATCTCAAGCAACCCAGAATTTTTAGTACCCTAAATAAAAATCTGGGAAGTGTGAATTGGTGCACTGGTTAATTTAAAAGGGGTTAGAAGAAACCGACTTTGGAAAATTGCCAATTATTCTCCATTCAGTTGGTAGCATCATTATTTTGTATGATTTCTTGAAGTGACCACTTTTCTTCCTACTGTTAAAATAGGTATCATTATAAACGTCTCTTTTTAATTTAGATACAGCCCAGATGTGGTATTTTTACAAGAGGTTATTCCTGTATATTTAAGTTACCTCCAGAAGAGAGCAGTCAGTTACACAATTATTCCAGGTAAATGAAGTGATCAACTTAATGCATAAAGTTATAGTAGTCACTCTCAGCTTAATGCAGCAACTGCAAATAGTGATATTTTTATGATACTGTATAATGTCACTATATAGAGCCACAGATAGTTGATTATACTAGCTTCCTAGGAAGAGGTAAACTATGCTTAGAATACATAAATGTGAGTTACTTATCTGAGCAGCCTGTCTGGTGAGGCTGTACACTTCAGAAGTTCTTGTTTTTACCTAATTACAATTTATCAGAGACTGGAAAACATATTAATCTTAATCTTGACATATATAAACCCTTAAACATTTGTGAGAAATTTCCAGAATACTCCAAAAGTTATATACTAGTTCAGTGTATAACTAAAACTGGAAGTGATTAAATGCATGGGAAATCACTGGATTAATTGTGCTTCAATAATATAAATTAAATCCAATTTACTTCCTTTTCCATGCACAGCTGCAGGATTGCAGATTTCAGCTTCCTGTGCAAAGTCCAAGTATAGCCTTGGTCAAAAAAAAAAGTGAAACTGTTTAATGGGGTTAATTCAAAATGAGAAATGAAAATAATAGGTGCGTGCATGTCTGAAATTTCTCTAGACTTGAGGCTAGTGTCTTCTATTGTGTGGAAATTCTGAGTGAAATGGCACAGTATTGACCTTTCCTTTTTCCTTTTTCTTTTTGTATTTTTGACTATCTGTCTCTTCAGGTAATACGGATGGTTATTTTACCGCCATCATGCTAAAAAAATCAAGAGTAAAAGTTTTAAAACATGAAATAACAGCTTTTCCTACAACCAGTATGCTGAGAAATTTATTAGCAGTATATGTAAGTGTGCTTTACCCCAGCTTTATGGAGAAAATTGTTTGGCAGCCTAAAGTCAAGGCTTTTTAAAAACAAGTTAATGGGACATTAATAGGGAAGGAAGTGGGTATTCTCATTATTAACTTTAAACTGTTATTTTATTTTCACAAGTTAGCTTTGTATATTAGCTCTTTGTATATAGAATATACATACATTTGGAGACAATCAGAAAATGTGAGAACTTTTCTGTAATATTACAAGGGGATTTAAAAGCTAAGTTTTCACTTATTGCAATATTCAGTCTTGGTTAAAAACTACGTTTAAAACAGGTTAGCTGTGTTATAGTTTAGCATTATATGTGAAGCAATCAACTATACTTGTGTTTTGCATTTTTCCCTATACTTGAAAATAGCTTAAAAATAATTATCCCACTACTATCCTGCATATTTGGATTGTGGACTAAAATGTCACTATGGATATATTAATGGGGGGTGACCTTTAGTATATTAATCAACCAATTCAGGGACTCTAAAACATGAGCCATGACCTCCTAGGGCAGGGGTCCCCAGTCCATGGACCAGCACCAGGCTGCGGCATGCCAGAAACCNAAGATGTTGCTCAGAGTGACAGGTTTGAAGACTTTGAATCGTAAGCTGTTAATATATAACAGGCAGCTTGGAGAAGCCTGCAGACTTAAGAGTAACATGTATATGTTGCATCCAGAGATCGCAACCCGCCCTCTCCCTCCGCGCCTTTGATCCGCGGTGCCAAAGCAGCTTCCCGGCGAACGTTCCATTCACCGAACGTTCAAGCCCCCGTTTCGAATCACCTGCCCGCCTCTTCGCACCTCCGCGTTCCGTCGGCTTTCCCGCGCCAGGCTCGGAAAACACAGGAAACTCCGAGGCGCAGATTCTCGGCGGCGCATGCGCAGCTTCGCTTCGACGGGAAGTGATGGAGGAACGGCGGGCGGGCCTGGCGTGGTCGTGAAAGGCGCTGCGGGTTCTTTTGGAAACAACTTGTGCCAAGAGAATGGAGGGCGGCTGGGCGGACAGGGAAATGGAGCAGGCGGCTTCCGAGCCGAAGGAGCGCGTCGACTCGGCGGAGGAAGGAGGGCCGCGGGAAGACCTGGAGGAGCAGCGGAAGCAGCTGTGCTTGGACTTTGCCTCCATCAGTAATTGTGGTGGTGCAGCCTCTGCTGAGCGCTACCTGGCCGAGAACGGCTGGGATATGCAGGTAGGTGCCGTTCTGAGCCTCTCTCCCTGCGTCCACGATACAGGTAGTTCTCGACTTCCAACCGTCCGTTTAGTGTCCGTTCAAAGTTAACAACGGCGCTGAAAAATATGACTTAGTTAGGACTGCTTTTTCATAGTTACGACCTTTGCTGCCTCCCCATGACCATGTGATCAAAATTCAGCTGGTTGGCAACCGGTTGGCAACCGGTTGGCATTTATGACCGTTGCGGTGTCCCACGGGTCATGGGATCAACTTTTGCGACCTTTTGACAAGCAAAGTCAACGGGGAAGTCCCCCTTCACTTAGTGACTGGGCTACTAATTTAGCAACTGCAGTGATTCACTTAAGAACAGTGGCAGGAAAAGTCGTAAAAGGGGGCAAAGCTCACTTAAGACACATCTCACTGAGCAACAGAAATTTTGGGCTCGGTTGTGGTTGTAAGTCAGGGATGCCCTATAATGAGAACCAGTTTGGTGTAGTGATTAAGGGGCTGGCCTAGAAACCAGGGGACTGTGAGTTCTAGTCCTGAGCAACGGAAATGTTCCTCAACTTATGATCACTTGTGATCATGTCGAGGAATACCTGTACCAGGTTTTGACTTTTCTCTTGTAGAAGGCGCTGAATTCATACTTTGACCCGTCTCCTGAGCAAGATGTTGACAGGATGTCCCATCCAGTTCCCGCCACGGGGGCTCCGTAAGTTATTTATGCGAAGGCTCTTTGTGGAGAAAAGGAGGGAAAATCTTTCCTTCCCCTCCATTATGTGGCCATGTTAATCCCTTTTCTTTTATTTCCATTATTTTATTTTATTTGTATCCCACATACAAATAATCTTATTATTTTTACAAATAACTNAATCTCACCGGCTCAAGGTTGACTCAGCCTTCCATCCTTCCGAGATGGGTAAAATGAGGACCCAGATTGTGGGGGCGATATGCTGACTCTGTAAACCGCTTAGAGAGGGCTGAAAGCCCTATGAAGCGGTATATAAGTCTAACTGCTATTGCTATTGCTAACCCTGAAGAATGGGGAACAGAAGAATAAACAGGATGAAGAATGAGAATAATTCTATATGCTCTTCACCCACAAGCCACTCAGCATTTGAATGATAGACAGCACTGTTATAGGCACCAGTTTTTCATTTGAACATTCAAATTTATTTGCTTGAAATTAATCCATTCAAAGCGGGTTAAACAATAGATTCTATATAAACATATAAATAATTAGAGTAACTTCATAAAGGAATTTTATAAAACCCACTACAGAGACTTGCTTACTTCAAGTGGGACACCTTTATCATTTCAATTGCTGGTTCATCGTTGCCTCGCTCCCCACGAAAGGCAATGCTCCTCCCTAAGAAAATGATGCACAACATATGTAAACTATCCAACACAGACAAACCTGTCACGGCTGATTATTTTTATATTCTTATTTTATTCTTATTTTAATTCCATTACGTTTTGCCTTCTTAACATTAGTTTCCAAGTTCCATAACTTTGTTTTGTGTATTATAAATAAACCCAAAATTGAGTTAGCGAACATGAAATATTGCTAAACTTTTGGCTCTAAGCCATCCCATTTTTCACATTTATTTTTTTCACAATTTTAAAAGCTCAGTGTAAACTATAGTAAATGCAAACACTTTCTCTGTGATCTTGTACTAATTAAGTGTCTTTTGTTAGATTCATGACATAATAATTTCTCTAAAAAGTTATGTTATAATCTAAAGATGACTCAGAAAGCTAGCAGAAGTTCTCTTCACATAAATGTTGTGGCAACCATTACATTCATCACTTGCTCTCACTGATATTTATATATCCCAATTTTACAATATATGGGAGTTTCAATCACTTTTTTCAGAATGTTTTTCAGATAATTTGATATTAATAATCACTAGTTCATACACTGATAACTGCGTAATGATTCTCCCATGCTTATTTATGAAATATACCAAACTAGAATTATCTAGAATTTTGTGCCCATCTTTCTTTCCCACCAGTATTACATAATATAAAATATGCATAATATAATATACATTATATAAAACTGTGTTTAAATATTTGGAACAGATCTATCAGAAAATAGAATGTCAGTTTCTATTTCATCACGTTTCTAAAACTGTACTTTCTTTTGGTAGCAGTTTTCTTTAATTAGTGAGATCAACATACAATGCAGCACAGACTATGGATAAAAATTAAATTCCATGCAAATAAATTTAAAACTCACCCAAATGAATTTAAGACTTAATCCATTTTAAAGCTTTGCTGTATATGTTTAAAAATGTGTAACATTTTTTAACATTGGTTTGTTGCTTTTTTTTAAAAAAAAAGAAAGGCACTATACCAATGTAGGGCCCGACAAATGCGTGCTCGACAAATGAGCGCCGACAAAACCGCCACGACAAAACGTGATGTCGAAAGCGCGCCCACTAAAGCGCAGACAAAACTGCACCCACAAAAGGACGATTAGGGTTTTTAGATTAGGATTAGAGTTGTTAACGTTGTTACCGTTGTTTTCGCGTTGTTTTTGCTGGCGTGCTTTTGTCAACACGCTTTAGTGGGCGCGCTTTCGAGGTTGCAATTTTGTCGTGGCGGTTTTGTCGGCATGCATTTGTCGGGCGCGCATTTGTCGGTGAACCAGGCTAATGGTATATGAAAACCTTTGTGGCGTAGTTTAAAAGTCACATCATTTAAGCATAAGATCAAGGTCTGAATCCTAATTTAGACACATAAACAAGCGGTGCATGCACTGAGTAAACCAACATTTCAATGTTAAATCACTCATCTTTCTACTGTTAAGGTCCAAGCAATTATGTATTTCCATATGTGCATCCACATATGGAAACATCTTTATATCTCCCACTGTTATCAGCTGAGCAGAAGCTACAGCATCAACACTAATATGTATAAAGAAGAATTGGGTCTTTAAAATGTAATAAATGTTGTAACAATACATTTATTAAATCTAAGAAGCACTGAAGTAGCAAGCTTTTAAAATTAGTTTTGAATGTGTATTCTCAGAGGAAGCCAAATGCTTTTCATGTAAACAGTGTTCAACAGTTTTGCATATAATGGCAAAATCTTCCAATTTGAAGATCTTGAAGACAAAATATGAATTTAAAATATATTGAACTTGCTGAGCTTTAGTTATCTAAAAAATTTAATGTTTTTTAATGCATTAGCCATTCATCTCATATATATTTCTGCCATTGTAATAGCTTTAAATCCACCAGACAGAATTCAGTACAAATCCACTCTGCACAGCTACATTCCTCTATCTTATCATCAAATATTATATTGTGCAAAGAATTTACCTGTGGGAAGATCAACCATTTGCAATTCGTTTCTCACCAATCCCAAATTATTAGGTGTAGATGTAGCAAATGAAAGGAAGCCATTCAAGCCTGTCCATTCAATACCCCTACCAAGGAATAATATTGAAGTATATTATACAGACATTTTGAAGTATAGGAAACAGTATAATCTTATGGGACAAGGAGCAAAAATACTCAGTATGCATTGGAGGGGAGAGTAAATACACTTTACAATATTCAATGTTCCCTTGAAACATTGCCCTTGAAATGAAAAAAAAATATCTTATCATGCCATGGATTCACAATACAAAAATATTAATATATACAAAAGTTACATGAATAACGGTAATAATATTTTCAACAGTTTAATTCCAAAAAGTCATTAAAAATTAGTTCAAAATTCCAAGTAAAAAAAAGAAGTCCCATTATTTTAGAGTTCTGTATAAATTAAGAATAGAGAAGATTTAAAAAATGTTGCAAAACCACTGGATTGATACTGAATAATTACACTATTTTCCTTTAAATATGCTGCATTATTACTAGCAGTAACACAGCAGCTAACTTAGCAATACTTTAAAGAATATAGTTTTATAAGAAGATATAAGGCAAGAATTATTAATAATTTATATTATATTCAGCACTTGTATATATTTTCCATTAAAATATATGAAGTATCAATAATATAAATCTACAGATAAATACATGGATGAAAGCAAACTATTGTTTGCATATGTATAATTTTCTTGTAAGAATATATGCTGCAATTCATGTACAATTGTAAAAAAAAAAGACTATTCCTTGTAGTATTTCTAGTAAATTAAAACATGCATCTGCAAAGTTATTCAAGATCTCCTGAAGGCTGCAATATTCAACAAGCTCAGTATTCTCTAGCTCTGTTGTTCATACCCTTTTTTCATAGGTCTATAGATCTAATTTGATTAAAAGCTAAACATGCAGCATGTACTACTGAACACAAATCTGTATTTTCATGTAAATGGAGAATGTAAAAACTACATTTGAAACTTTGTATTACGATAAGTATCCCAATTATACTGGAAGTGTTCAGAAACAGTCAATTTTCAATCTCCAAATTTCAAGTACACTGGCATAAAAACTGACATTTAATGCAATTAAGGGTCACGCTACACTTGTTTTATAGATTACAACTCTGTGCTTAAAATGTAACACTCATGAACTTTATTAATAGCCTTTGCAGTGGATTTATAGAACAGAAATATGGAGTCTCAGAGCTTTAAAATATCTGAATAATTCAAGGCAATTTATTTCATGAGTTCCTTTCTAGCTGCAATAAAGAAAGAAACAATGAAGAAATCAAATTCCTTCGTTATATTCATCCAGCAGCCAAAACCTGCTAAGTCATTTTAGTATAGGTAGTCCTCAAAGTAGGACAATAATTGAACCTGGAATTATAGTTGTAAGTCATTGCAGTTGTTAAGTGGGTCACCACATGATAATCTCTGATTTTCCTACTTTTTGCTGCAATCACTAAGCAAATGCAATGGTTAATCCCTGCTTATCTGGATATAGGGTGTTGGAGAAGTTAAGCAAACATGGTAATTATTCAGCAAATCCATTTTATCAAATGAACATTTTTTTGCCAGAAACCAGAAATGGATAAAAAACATTAAAAACCAAAACATGTGACTGTGAGATGCTGCAAACAGCATTTCAATATCCAATATACAATGCCAGTAACAATTAGATGACAGAGAACATAAACTATGTAAAACTTAAAAACAACACAGAATGGCTACTTCTGCCAGTGACCTCTATGAGCAACACAAATCCTTTATATATTTATTTCTGTGCCAAATTCTGGTTTGGTCTGCCACATGCTTCAGGTAAGTGTCATGTATTAGGTGAAAATTCTTTCAGACATACTTAAAGCTTTAAAAATGTTTGGGCAGATGATCAAAATAATATTTATCACTGTCATTTAAAAAATAATATAAAGGATTTGTGTTGCTCATAGAGGTCACTGGCAGAAGTAGCCATTCTGTGTTGTTTTTAAGTTTTACATAAGTTATGTTCTCTGTCATCTAATTGTTACTGGCATTGTATATTCGATATTGAAATGCTGTTTGCAGCATCTCACAGTCACGTGTTTTGGTTTTTAATGTTTTTTATC